CACGGTAGCTAAGAGGTCTTAGCCTATTATAGTCTTCCTGTCCTGTTTTATTAGAATTAAAGTGTTATACCAACCCAAAAGAAAACTCTAGCAAGATAGAGGAGGATTCATCTGAAATCAAGAGAATGTACCGGCTGTATCCCACAAACCCAGATTAACAGTGCTTCCATCCACTACAACATTTGCACTGAAATTGTCGAACACAGTTGGTACATAGTCCTGTCCCAAAAATAAATAGCAATGGCCACAATAATTATCTTTCCAATGACCCATCAGAATGACAAGGCACTGAAGAGGTTATCAAAAGATGTGTTCCCTCAGTTTGGTTCATGGAAACTGATATCATAACACGAGATGACAATTTCCCATATCTCATGCCAGACAGAGAATTAATGTCACATCCAGCCGCACAGATTGGATGGTCCCATGGAAGAGCATTTCAGAGACAAGAAATGCTATCTCAATTTGCTACAGCATATCCAATTGTCTCATGGAAAGATTAAACAGTGGTCTGAAGCTTTGCAACAATAATGGACTGCAAACATTAAAAGATAACTAGGTACCACTTCTTTCTTTTAAAGCAAAGTTAACAAGCTGAAGTTGTTCCTAATACTGAGAATAAAAACGAATTTTGGCCACTTTCAGCACCACATTCCCAAATTCAACTTCAAAGATTTTCTATTGTTCTTCACCTCATCCCACAACTAAGAACAAAAAGGAAGTTGTGTACTCCAAGGCACTGAAAAGAATTTAAATTGCTATCTACAGCAAACCCCGAAGATACCCATATAGTCCCTTGACACAGCTTTAAATCAAAAGAATATCTCACCTTTCACCGAATACCAAAACTTAACTTTGGAAACCACTTTGTACCATCAGAGATTTTCCTCGTCTTTCTATTTACGAAAATATCATTTTCTTTTAAAAAATGCCCATCCCCAAATCCTGAATTCTCACAACCCTCAAAATACTCAAAATCAGCTAAAAACCAAACCACCCAAACCCTAAGCAAGATCCTAAAATGAGTTTGCAAGGAGAGCCAATTTGATCTTTTCAATGTGGGGTTTTGTTAAAGATATGTAAATGATACTTGTAAAAATAGAGGTATGTCCATTGGGTCTAAAGTTAGCTATGTTTTTCGTATTTTGCCTTGCATTTCACAAACCCATTACAAAAAGGTTTTGAAGCAGAGTATTATAGGGCGCAAATTTTTCACAAACCCGTCACAAAAAGGTTGGCTTTTTCATGAACAATATGCCAAATTCAATAGGCCAGAAATCAACGTTTCATCTTCAAGAATGCTCCTCGACCAAAAAAAAAAAAAAAAAATCTTCAAGAATGCTCGACTCGATTTCAAGAACCGACCCAGAAAGCACTACCTATCTTTCTTGACTCTCTTCCTTTCTCCAGATAAGGAGTAACTCAAATTGGGCACCAATTTATTCGCACAGCAACGAAACGAACTCAAGAACCCAACTGATAAGCATTCGTTTTTGCCTCTAATTGAAAACCCAGCACAGCCCGAGTCAACCCAGTTGCTCAGAGCCCCAGAAAGAAGCCGAATTCTTCCAGCGGCCCACCATTTCCCGGGGGAAAACAAGAGGACGGGCAGGGGCTTGAAGGGAGCAAAAGGGCGTACCGTGGGGAAGGTGTTGCTGGTGTAGGAGATGAGCATGCAAGTCTTGCCGACGGCTCCGTCGCCGACGGTGACGCACTTGATGAACCTCGACGCACTCATGGTCTCTCTCCCCCCCTCCTCCTACCACGTCGGAAACGTCCCCCTGCACCGGCTAGTCTTGAGCAGAGACGGCGAAGCTCTGCGACCGCGAAACGAGGCGCATTGAAAACCGGGGGAAACGGAGCGGAAGTGGGTCGTCCGGGAAGAAAACGCACTCTGACTACCCACTACCCAGAGAGAGAGAGAGAGAGAGAGAGAGAGATTTTCTTTCTTGTTTTCTTTATAAGGGGGGCAGGATGGAGAGAGACAACTCTTGCCAGCTGCGATGAAGGATATGTTTAAGGCGAGCTCACGGTGGCAAAAGCTTTACTTGACTAGCAACACACCCTGAATCGCCTACATATATTCTCTCAAGTGGAAAAAAGCAAGAACCTTTCCAAACTCCATAGCTCCTTGTAAATCATCTCAACGAGGACGATGGATGGATGGATGGATGGATGGAAGGATGGATTATATAGATTTACATCATGTGAGTAGTTTAATCATGTGTGATTATGTATAGTCGATAATTTTTTGATGATGTTGAGTTGTATGATTTTATAGATCATGTAATAATTTCTCGCCGTCGAGAGACTTGGAGAACTGTTTCATTTTCGAAAGAATTTTTGCAACACAAACACGAAAAATAACCCATGGGTCGGGGAAAAGTTCCTTTGTTTGATTGTTCAGCAAGTGTTCCGGGGTCACTCTTCAGCAAAATTCATTTTTTGATGAGTAAAAGAATGGAAAGAGGCTACGGCATAATAATACAAGTTTCACATCCGTGACGAAATGCTTAATTTGAGCCACATTTACGATTTATTAGAACAAACGTGTCGTCATGCCTACTATAATGCCAGTCGATGTAAAGCTGCAATTATCCCGTGCCCAATCAAGCCGAAGCAACACCATAGATAAATTAAGGTTTTTTTTTTATATTAAATAACAATTGAGCAAATCGAACCTGTGACAAAAGGGACTTCAAACTATATGGGAATGAACTCTACACAATTAAGTCAACTACCACGATAGTTTTTAACTCTCGCTAGCTTTGAAGCAGGAATTGCTAAGTAATTGCGGGGATGTCATGTGGCTTCAAATCCGTTCTTGGTTCTTGTACACATTGTCCATCACTCACATTACTATCGCAGTGATGGATGGACCGGTAGGATAAATCGATTGTCTTAGAACAAGGTCACAAGATTGAAGTTGCTCGAAACAATCGTGTGTTTTGAGTTTAGGCATTGAGCATCTCAATGGGCCTATTAACAAAGGTCGCCGACCTCGAACCAATAAGTTAGGATTAACATTAGTGCCGAGCATTCTCTCTGTAGTCCACAATTCGAACCAGGAAGTTTGTGAAGTATTTCATTAGTATGTTCAAGCAAAAGGTGAGCAATGCATGTTGCCATCCCATGTTAACTTTGCTCCATGCTTGGTTAGGAGTATAGTCACTTGAAGAATCTCGCGGCATGATTCAGAATCCTTAAACGAATCAAAACTACGATCGCTCCCCGCGCAAACTGCCAGCAAAACACAACCCGATCGAGCATGTTCTCTTCGCACTCCATCTCCATGTCAGACAAAAAAATGAGCACTGAAACAGGTGCTGGTGCAACACTCGACAGTGATTGATCATGACATCATAACATGTTGATGTTTCTCAAATCTCATGCTCACCTGTGAAGAAATATTCTATCTCAATTGATCAAGATGTAGAAACGAAACAGATTGCGTTTCTTGACATACCCTAAAGTAATCGGGACAGGAGGCATGCAATGAAGTAGTGTATATATCCCAATATAGGTTGACCTAACATAACTAAAAAATCTAGCTCTAGGTACAACACCTAACAAAAGCCATTCTCTCCTTTTCTTTCCCCACCCAAAAAAAGAGAGCTTCTTGATGATTAACATAAACGAGCAAATCTTAGTTTGTTTGGATTTCGGATCACATTTCTAAATTCTCGATTAAAAGAAATCGAGGTACTATAAACGGTAACCTTTTCTTTTCTTTTTTTATATTTCAGGGGCACGGGCATGGAGAACGAGTTTCTAAAGGCTTATGGAACAATTTATAAGAAAAAATAAAACGTTTGATGGGACGTAAAATAAAAAGCACGAAATAATAAAAGAAAAAACTAAAAGTAGTTAAAGTAGGTTATGCTTCAAGATATGAATAATCAAAAGAGCCTTCCCTTAATTATTTATTCACGTTGACATAAGTGAGTGATCAAGTCCCTCTTCCTTGCATGGAGGTTCGCATCTGCTCTAATCAGCTCTAACTTGGGGAAAATTATCTAATCAGTCCTAAACTTATAGTACGGATGATAATTTAGTCCTAAACTTTTCAATTTCGCCACTTTAGTCCTGCACCTTTGCTTCAAATTTTGATATAGTTCTTCTAGTCTATTTTTTGTGGAAATCGTTGACTTGATAGTCCAATCATCATGGACCTTCCTACATGGCGTACCAGCCAGATGTTTCGTATAGTGTTAAAACCAAACGAGATTGGAGTAGGAAGAACATGAGCGATTCTTTTCCCGAGCCCTTCTTAGAAAGTCCTCCACAATCTTTGTTTTGAGTTCGATTTCTTATACAATTAGGAGTGAGGTATGCTGGCGGGAAGTCCGAAACATATATAAATCCCTTACTTTTATTTCTTCCTAATGTTGCGCAAAGATTTAGGACTCAATTGATGAAATTTAAAAATTTTAGAACTAGAATGGCATCCATACAATAATTCTAAGACAAATTGGGCGATTTCCCGGCTCTAACTTCCTGGTTAAGGAAGCACCAACAATAATAGTGATCAATAATAAGTACATAGAAAAATCAAAATTTGTAGGTGTGGGTTCTCTTTGTACTTATTAAGTGGTGTGGGTTGGCACCAAGAATTGACGCCTCGTTTAGAAGCAATTCATTTGGTGAGATGGGGGGCTCACTTCTTTTATTGTGTACAGGCCCAATTGATACCCCTCACATTCATCATGCCATAATGCAATGTACGTGGAAAAGAAATAAAGTGGTTGTTGTAGTTGGTGAAGGAACCATCATCACTCTACCGAATCATACTATTTAAAAAACGATTTTGACCCTAACTTGGGGACACACATCACTTGTGCTGACGGGGTCAGGTCGGATCGATTTCCTCGCGGATTTCTTAGGGTTCGCATAGACATTTGGCTTAAAGTCCGACATCCCATTATGTTTCGGAGAAAGTATAAGATATTAAAGGTATCACGCACGTCATGCATGGTTAATCAGAGACGTCGCTTCACTAACTAAGCATCGCTCATTGATCATCTTCACGATTAATCAACAGCACTAGATATCGCGAAGATATCAAAAGTAATTGACCAATGTATAATAGCGGTACATCATTGCCATCTGGTTCATTTCTTGGTCAAATGATATCCTCCTGACAGTGGCCTAATCCAAATAGTTTGAGAATATCATCAACACCTCAGTCCAAGTACTAAGACAGGAGTCTCAAACTCTCGGTGCTCGACGACCACATCGTGATCAGCCATCCGCTGCGCGATGCCGGGACTAGGAGTTCAATCTCGCCATCTTCAAGTCCCAAAAATATCGCACCAAGGCAGGGCTGACCAATGGTTGTTTTCCGCTAGTTTCGGAGTCGCCGCTCCCAACCATCAAGAGTTCACATTTAAAAGTACTCCAACTGGTGGCATGCTACTAGACCTCGGCTCAATTGACTATGTTCATATTTCGTCATCTGAGCTGAAGAGTTCTAGTTCAATCAGCTTCCCAGTGCCCAGCTTAGTTTTGTTAGCGGAATCTTCTTCTGTTTTGCTCCTCTTCACGCCCGTTCGTTCATTTCTTTGGAATAAAGATGGATCCACTTTGACAGCAGATGATTTCCTGACGAGTTAAACAAACAATATCGGTTCGACCAAAAGTTGAGCCTTGCATGGCACCTTTTAGTAAATTCAAAAATCAAGACTTGAGATTGGTTGAAGTAAACCTTTTGTCCTTGCTGGCCACGGGTTCAGATTTCAGAGAAGATTCCTTATTCGAACTTCTTGGCTCCATTTTTGCTGGCACACAGGAGGGAATTGGATAAGATTATCGGCTTATAAAGAGTCTACACCAAAGAGGCTAATTATCTCTAACCTGTTACTTCAGACAGAAATCTTATTCCCTGTGAATGTGTGTTTGTCGTCACCTTCCCTGCACCACTAGTTATTCATGGTATTTGTCGGTATGATCACATTAAGAAGAAAAATAAAGAACACACGATGATTAATAAGCTATAGTATGCAAAGAGATCATTAAACTGCTTTATTAGGTCTTAAAATCACAATAAGCAATGCAACATATGAAACAATCAGCGCTATTTTTTGTTTTCCTGACCACGCAACCTTCTAAATTGTCAGTCACACAGAACATTTCTCATATTATCGCTGTCAGAATTCAGGTCATCTATACCCAATGTGGATCGAATCATAAAATGTATTCTACTTTTTTCAAATGCCAAAACAAGATTAAAGTCAATGCAAGTAATTTGACTTTCATGATAATTGTGTAAGGACTATCAGGTTTAACAGGAAGTAAAAAGGCAGAGAAAGAGCACTCAAAATTTATAATTCTCAAAATTCGAGTATGATCATATGTACCTTAAAGCTTTTTTCAGCCCTTCCACCGATAACAGTTTCACTGGCTGTGTTGCCTTTTTAACGTTTGTTCTGTCAGAAAGACGATCAACGACATAGATTCCCTCGGCATTAAGGTGGTTCCTAAATGCTGTTCTGATATTCCTGCCAAAATAAGGGAAAGAAGGGGAAAAAAGGGAACATTAGTCGAAGTAGTTTGGTCTTCTCCCTATCCTGCCATTTTGAAACGAGTAGAAGTCATCTAAGTCTTGTCTAAACAATTGGAAGTCTTGAGAGCTAGTTCTCAGGAAGGCTATAGCTTACCCCCCAATGAGCTGAGTTCGTGTGCTGGAATATTTCTCCGAAGCCTTCTGTTGTATGTAACAGTATGAAGAATCAGATATGGAGATTATTTTGAAATAAATTCGCCAAAGAAAATAGTTCACAGAATCACTCACCGACTTATGGTACCTGCAATATATCCCACGGTGCCTGAAAATACACATTTACAAGGTTAAATAGACAATGCAATTTAGAGAACAAGGAATAACATACAACACATAATGCCATAAATTACCCAGTATAGAGACAGCAGCAGAAGAAGCATAAACATATGGAAATTAGTCGTCATGTCGGCATATTAAGCAATGATTAGAGATGCCTTGAAAGTTCGCAAACATCTAGAGCACTTCAAAATTCAAATTTGCTAGATTCTTAGTTTTAAAAGCGCTTTAAGAAGCTATATCTGGAACCTCATTCAATGAACTGAAAAGATTGGAAAGACACCAAATGGTAGAAAATCCCAAGACGTGCTCAAACAAAATGAAGCACGGAACAAAGCCACTGCAAAGCAGTTCCTGGATGTCTGGTATGAGCATTGACTGCTGCCCTCAATGGCAAGGAATCCATGGGGGGTGAGCCATGTCACTCTCATGTGCTAGTGGAATAAGACTCCATAGGACGACACTTGGTTCATGTGTGCTGAAGGTGGATGAGAAACTCATGCCTCGGCCTTATCCACTAGGTCCATCACTTTGGTGGTTCGCATATCTGAATCTTGTTCATCAGAACATAGCAGTTCTCCTTTCTTCATGCTGCGGATAGTCCACATTTCAGGTAGGCTATCTAGAAGATCACTAGCCTCTGAGAATGAATTTTCTTGCTTGTCTTGTTACCAGATTTATTTGAATACAAAGAAAATATAAGTTTGAAATCTAGAAAACTGTCAGCAATAGAGACAGAATGAAAGAACAAGACTTTGTCAGCCAATGGGAACGTTTTCAGGCTAGCATATAAGTAAACTAATTCGGATCAAACATCAAGTATTGTGTATCCATTAACCAAGAAGAATCAGACACGATTTTTTTCGGTTGATAGTAAGAATTCCTTATTAGCCTTTCCCTCGACTGGGTGGGGATAGTTAAATAATAACTCAATCACCATATTTAGGGAATTCTTCATTTCCACAAAGCCATTTATGCTCCAGAACAGCTTTTGTTTGAATCCCTTATTTTTTTTTTGGGTAAGGCATTGTTTGAATCCCTTATTTCTCATTCCTTTTCCAAAGAAAAGAACTTAATGGTATAATGCTGAGGTTCACAAGGAAACTATAATTAAAAACACACATTTTACACATCCTCTTCCAGTATATGAACATTAGTCTGCAACATAGACCACAATTTGGACCAGGGAAAAGCCAGACACCTTCAGTGCAAACTGCACAACCTCACGGTTAGAAACCATGAAGATGGATAAGGCCACAAAAACGTTAGAGACCCATAGAAGGAAATTTTGCCAATGTATATCATTTTGCTGATATACAAGAAAAATTAAGTGAAGATCATTTCCAGAGAAAAACTGAAATGACATCAAAAATCTATAGATTTTGCTGTTTGCATTATCCACAAACTTTATCTTCATATTATAGGGAAATTGTGGGACACGTATCATACTTGTTTATGACCAATGTACAAGCCATTCCATCCTTCCGTTTCCCCTTGCAAACTCCATAATCAGCTGATGTACCGATTTTCAATATTTGGCTAGGAGAATATATGCTTAGAGAAAACCCTCCCTGAAAAAACAGAAAAAAGGAGAACAGAAAGGAGATGTACCTCATAATATCCTTCTATTGAAAGAAAAAATGGCACGATGTACCAATCTTAATATTCTGTACCATGGAGTCCTTTCGAACATTGCAGTTGAACAGGGCAAAGGTGGAACCGACCTTCTCATCTGAATTTCTTTGATAAGCATCACCAAATAAGAAAAGGGAAATGGCATCTTCATTTAGGCTTCCAATTTTCCATATACAATAGTTCTTCCCTGTAGAACTAGTCTTTGGACTCCCCTTCTCAGTCAGCACAGCAACAGTTGCCCAGCAACCAGAAAGAGTATCCCCCGCCAACAAATTCCTGGGCAACCAAACACAGAAATTACTAATGATGTTGCCCTAATAACTTGAATAAACCAGAAATCTTTAGTCAGCCTTTCGAAGAAAAAACTAGAAATCATAAAGGTTTGAGGTGGAAATAGATTTGCTTCCAAAAATGAAATAGAAAAATGTCAAAAAGTGAAATAAAAAGATGTCATTTATAGAGTACATTGATAAGAGAACACGTTACTTTATCACTGGTAAGCGAACAAATCTGATGTCCGAAAAATGATCATGAAGCTCTGTTGGGGTGATCAACTGATTCCTGAAGGACAAAAGAAGATGTCAACACGAAAATCTCTTTGAAGAAGACTTCTACAAATTAAAACTGAGTAACTCCATTCAGTGCTTCAGGGATGAAAAGTTCACAAAGGACAAAACAAAAAAAAAGAATCCAAAAGCCCCTTCTATGTATTAGCAACACAAGCAGCAGATATCCAATTCTTTGCAATTTGTAACCCTGATACTTTTCCTGAGTTAATAATGTAGAGTGCGAAGTAACCATTCAAGCATTGCAGTAGAAAATTTAGCAAATATCTCCGGAGTAAAGCTAGAGCTACACAATGTAAAGTCCAAAAGAACTTCCAAAAGGAGATATTGTATCCGAGCAAGAAAGTGTCGAAAATGAAGGAACATACAAGCACGAACTAGAAAATCCAACAAAACATTGAGGCAATGAAGCCACCTTATGCGCAGACCCGAGAACTTCTCAACATCAGGCTCTGCAGCTGCCCTCGACGGGTTTAAGTTACCAGATCCTTTAGTGGGTTCAGGCTTGTAATCCAAGCAATCTTCAACTGCATCTCGGAACACAGACATATCTACCTGTTCCCGTCTCTTCGGCATTCCATCATCCGAAAGGTATCCTGGGCATTACTGATTAAGATGAGCTAAAAAAAGGCTGCAGAGTTCAACTAACAAGCAAATTCTACTTCAATTGCAGTACCACCCATGAGCATCGATCGAGAAAAAAAGCGAATTTGTGAGAGCTCAATCACAAACACGAAAAAGATGGAATTTTTTTTAAACCCCAGATCGAACCTGGGGAAGAAGGGGAGTGAGGGTGCGAAGGAGAAGCCGGAGGGGTTTCCAAAACCCTATCTTGGAGAGAGAGGAGGAGGTCGAGATCATCCTGGTTGCTCTTCGACATGGCATGAGATTCACTCATTTCTTGAGTTCTTTCTTTGGTAAAGAAGACGATTTGGTTTCGATTTCCTCGAACTTGAGCAAAAATTGTTTGGAGGGAGGCTTCAATCTTTTTGGAGGGAAATGCTATGCTAACCCAAAAGTATAGGTGTGTGCGCATGCATTTATATACATTTTTGTTCTTGAAGAGCATATCGAGGCTGTGTGTGCAGGCCCATCCCATTTGAATTGGGCCTGACCACTCGGTCTCAAGAAAACATCAAGAAGTGAAGAACCGAAACCCGCCATTTCCGAATTTCGGTTGTATACAGTTATAAGGCTATCCATGCAAGAGAAAAAGATTATAGCAGCTTTCGAAGGAGAGAGAAAGAGGCAAACCATGTTTCAGTTCAAGAAAACAGAACCGAAGGAGAGAGAGAGCACAGGTAGAAACATCTGTAACAAAGACAACCTCAACCAGTGAACTGAAACAGCGGAAAAAAGGAAATTAAGAAGATGGAAGAGCTGTCTTCTCTCCGAGCTTTCCTCCGGGTCCTCATTTTTACCCGTTCATTCTCTTATAACGCTGAATTTTCATGGATTTCCCAATTCAGCTTCTGGGCACCTCCTCCCTGTAAAGGAAGAGGCCCCATCTGAGTTCCAGGCTTTAGTTTTTCGTTCATTTCAATCGGAAAAAAAGAAAAAAAAAACAGCCTTGTTCGCTGCCTCGTTGTCCTCGTCGAATTGAAAAAAAAATGAGGATAGAAATGAAGAGACTGGTGATTTTGTCAGCCCTTTTCTCATTGATGCTCGCGGTGGCATGTGCAAAGAAGAAAGTGCAGGGAGTCGCGTATGACGGAACGTCTTTGATCATCAATGGGAAGAGAGAGCTTCTGTTTTCCGGCTCTATTCATTACCCTCGTAGCACACCAGAAGTATGTCATTTTGGACACCATGAACAAAATTCTGGCCATATTCATGTTCTTTTGACATGTTTTTTGTTTTCATCGGTTTCATTAGGCTGTTCTGTTTGAGGGATAACAATGCCATTGGATTGGTATTGCAGATGTGGCCAGACCTCATTCGGAAGGCGAAACAAGGAGGCTTGAATGTGATCCAGACGTACGTTTTCTGGAATGCTCACGAACCTGTTCAAGGCCAGGTAATTGGTGCTCTAATATTGATGCAAACTTTAAAGATTCGTGATATGCCAAGCTAGCTAAGTTTTGGGCTTTATAGACCAAGATGATGAAAGGACTGTACGTTTTGATTTTGCAGTTCAACTTTGAAGGGAATTACGATTTGGTGAAATTCATCAAATTGATTGGAGAGAACAAAATGTATGTAACTCTCAGGGTTGGACCTTTCATTCAGGCCGAATGGAATCATGGGTACTGTTTTCTCCTGTGTCTTTCTTTATCCTCAAAGATATAGTGTCTGCATCGCGCATGCATGCCCGTGGCTGACATTGCCCGTGTCATTTTCTTGTTAAATTGGAATCCAGAGGGCTTCCCTATTGGCTGAGAGAGGTTCAAAATATCACATTCCGTTCCGACAACCCACCATTCAAGGTAATGTGCCTCACCGAATTCAGGAAATCATACGTTCTTCAGGAAAAAGAATCAAAAGTGCTCTGCTAACTGGTCTATGCCTCCTATTCTGCAGTATCACATGAAAAAGTACGTCAAGATGATTGTACAAAAGATGAAAGATGAGAAGCTATTTGCTTCTCAAGGGGGTCCCATCATTCTATCTCAGGTATAGACCTTACTTCAATTTCGCCACCTAGAAGCATGTAAGGCATTTATTGAAGATAAATGCCGATCAATTTCTAATTTGCAGTCGTAGTGAGTTTCTAGCCTTGCCATGCAGATTGAGAATGAGTACAATAGCATCCAACTTGCATACAGAGATGCAGGAACCCGATATGTTCAATGGGCTGGAAACATGGCCGTAGGGCTAAAAACAGGAGTTCCGTGGATCATGTGCAAGCAGAAGGACGCTCCTGATCCAGTCGTACGTATTTAAGTGCATTCACAACATATTAACACTCACTACATATGAAAGGACTTGCTTATTGTGCACTCAATGTGTCCTAAGATTAATCACGCGCATGGGTTACACCGTCTTTGTAGATTAATGCATGCAATGGAAGGCACTGCGGTGATACCTTCACAGGCCCAAATAGGCCCTACAAGCCAACTTTATGGACTGAGAATTGGACTGCTCAGTAAGCATACTGCACCAGTGTCATCTCAAACCTCCGTTTGATTATCATCAATAAACTTGACAAATATATGACAGACTATGTCAGCTCTTCGTATTTGGCTAATGATGCCTGTTGTTTGCTTTATTCTTAAATGATTGCAGGTACCGAGTATTCGGAGATCCACCATCCCAAAGATCAGCAGAAGATCTTGCATTCTCCGTTGCTCGTTTCTTTGCAAAGAATGGGACTTTGACTAACTACTACATGGTATGGAGTGGCTTCTCTTCTGCTCTGTCTCAAACATCAGCATTTAATTTCCTCACTTTTGGTTGATAGCATTCGTTACCATGTAATAAAACTGTCCACCATATGTTCTGCAGTACCATGGCGGAACAAATCTCGGTAGAACAAGCGCTGTATTCACGACAACTCGCTACTACGATGAAGCTCCTCTTGATGAATATGGTAGGAATAAAATTTTCCTTGTCCCTGAGAATTATCTCTTGTGATTACTCTTGTAAATATGTGACTGACCAACATTGCTTAAAGGCCTCCAAAGGGAACCTAAATGGGGCCATCTCAAAGATCTGCACAGGGCTTTAAGGCTATGTAGGAAGCCTTTGCTCTGGGGAAGTCCCAATGTCCAACGTTTGTCTAAGGATCTCGAGGTAATAGCCTAAGATGATGTTACAGCAGCACTAGGGAGTTTGATCAGTAACATGTAGTCTGCAAGAAGGGTTCTTCTCACTATCGACCAAATAAAATTGCTCCATGCAGGCCAGGTACTACGAGATTCCAGGGACTAAAGTCTGTGCTGCTTTCTTGACAAACAACAACACTGTGTTGCCTCAGGCGGTTAACTTTAGGGGAGAGCAGTACTATCTCCCCCCACATTCTATCAGCATTCTTCCCGACTGCAAAACCGTGGTTTACAACACTCAAAATGTGAGCGTTGCTTGTCTATTCTTTATCTCAGCCTTGCACTGATTGATTAAATAAGGAGACCTTGTATTCTTGTAGCTATCAGCCATTGAACGGCCGAGCGCCTGATGTGTGTTCTTCTGTAATTGGCATGAGCAGATTGTATCGCAACACAATTCGAGGAACTACGTCAAATCAGAGAAGGCAAACAAGCTCAAGTGGGAGATGTCACCAGAAATCATTCCAGACACCAGCCGAGTGCCTGTCAATTCCAAGACACCAGCTGAGCTCTACAGTTTGACTAAAGATACCACAGATTATGCTTGGTTTACGACAAGGTGAGTATTGATGCTTTTCCTTCAGTCAAGAGAGCAAAATTTTGGTAATAGCAATTCACTGAAGTGAAAAATTGGAATGCTGCACCAACTCACTGCAGCATAGAGTTGGAAACCCGTGATCTCCCGATGCGAAAAGATATAAAGCCGGTTCTGCGCGTTGCCAGTCTCGGTCATGCAATGCTTGCATTTGTAAATGGAGAATTTGTCGGTAACCAATCTCACTCTCAGCATAACAATTGACTTATTAAACACTCAAGAGTAGCAACTGTTAGCCATTCCTAGGCAAATTAATAGAGCCCATCGATGATATTGTTCAGGATCTTCCCATGGCAGTCACATCGATAAGAGCTTTGTCCTGCAAAAGCCTATCGTCTTGAAGCCTGGAGTGAACCACATTTCTCTGTTGGGTTCAACAGTGGGATTCCCTGTAAGGAGCTAATTGATTCTAACTGTGCTTTTTCCTCCAACTCAAGAACTAGGCTGATGAAGCTTACCAAGTCGTGCAGGATAGCGGAGCCTACATGGAGCACCGATTCGCAGGGCCTCGTCTAGTGACAATCCTAGGTTTGAACACCGGGACACTGGATTTAACCCTTAATGGCTGGGGTCATCAGGTACAGATTAAAATTTTGAGAGGGATCATATGTCAAATACATGACTCAAGAAAGTAACATTGGCTGTGGTGAAAAGTAGACAAACCATCCTGTTTTCACAAATGATATTGATTGAAATGAAATGGGATTTGTGATACAGGTGGGCTTGGATGGAGAGAAGGTCCGCGTATACACGCAGGGAGGGTCGCACAGAGTGCAATGGACCAAAGCTACTCAGGGAGTCGGGCGTGCTCTTACATGGTACAAGGTAAGGCATAAATGATCTCTCTCTCTCTCTCTCTCTCTCTCTCTCTCTCTCTCTCTCTCTCTCTCTCTCTCTCTCTCTCTCTCTCTCTCTCTCTCTCTCTCTCTCTCTCTCTCTCTCTAACAACATACCACGATCGTTTCGCGGCATCCTGAATTATCGCACTGCAGATCATCATGAGATTGGAATTTTACTAGTAAATGCAGAGAGTATGACAATAGATCCAACATTAGCATCCCATCAACACTCGGCTAGTTTCTGAATTCCTGAGGAGATTCCATGAAAACTTCAGTGTAAATTTGACTAGCTACAGTTTTCGAATCGTCTGAAAACTTGATTGTCTTGTATAAGACCGTCTAATGCGCCGCCTATGGATCATTGCTTTTGCAGACATACTTCGATGCTCCAGAAGGAAATCAACCCGTCGCCATTCGCTTGCCTCAAATGACCAAGGGAATGGTTTGGGTCAATGGCAAGAGCATTGGCCGCTACTGGTACACTTACCTTTCTCCTCTCGGACAGCCTAGTCAGTCGGAGTAAGTACCTATGAAACTTCACCCAAGAAAGATACTGCCAAGTAAGGTGACACGTTTGTGATTTATCCGGTTTGCTCCTTGCTTTGTCAGGTACCATATCCCAAGATCCTTCATAAAGCCGACCGACAATCTACTCGTCGTGCTGGACGAAGACGGAGGCAACCCTGGTTCAGTAGAGATCCTAAATGTGGACAGAGACACCATCTGCAGTTACATCACCGAGTACCATCCCCCTAGCGTGAAGTCATGGGCAAGAAAGAACAACCACTTCCGCCCGGTTGTGGAGGATGCGAAACCCGCGGCGCACTTGAAGTGTGCAAACC